TTGATTTTATCTGACGAGGGAAGTATCCAACTGATAAATCGCTTTTTGAACGAAACCTAGTGGACTATAGGTAGTCGACGATGCTGATTCCGAATATCACCATGACTGCTGCTGCTAGGCCTTTAGAGACCGGTCTTCTGGAAAACCAGTTTTCGAGAAACTCTAAAGCACAGATAAAAGCTTTCTTAATGAGGCGTAATTGTAGTCCATAAATTTCTGATTAAAACGAGGCATCTCCCAGCTCTAGACGACCTTTCTTTGCAAAGCTATAGAATTTACAAGAAAAGCCCTAAATTCATTTTTCCTTTTTCTTTCCGAAGCTCTGAGGTGGCAATGAACATTTAGGGCTTTTCTTGTAAATTCTATAACTTTGCAAAGAAAGGTCGTCTAGAGCTGGGAGATGCCTCGTTTTAATCAGAAATTTATGGACTACAATTGCGTCACATTAAGAAAACTTTTATCTATGCTTTAGAGTTTCTCGAAAACTGGTTTTCCAGAAAACCGGTCTCTGAAGGCCTAGCAGCAGTCATGGTGATATTCGGAATCAGCATCGTCGACTACCTATAGTCCACTAGGTTTCGTTCAAAAAGCCATTTATCAGTTGGGTACTTTCCTCGTGAGATCATCGATAATCCTGTCACAATCAAGTCTCATCTTTTGGCAAAGTTGCGACAATCAAAGTGAGAGCTTTGTTTGAAGTTTTTCTGTGACACCTACATTCTGAACGATTTTTGCTTCCCTTCTGGGGACTTCCAGGCGAGCACACTAGCATGAGTATCGATTATCACATCCAGCTTCGACGTTCTGCAGAGAAACAAACTTTCTGAGAAACATAAAGACTCTTATCTAACAGAAAAAGCTTCTAAAGTCTAAGAATTCTTCCATCACGATGGTGTTTTTGTGCAAATGATTGCCCATCCAAAAAACTGATATCAAAAAAGTAAGCTTCAGACTAGATAAACCTATTGAAATACACGTATACTGGAAGAACGTAGGCTTTTTGTGACTCGAAATCGTTCCCCCATGCTGGAAGAGGCAGAAATGCACAAGGCCCCATTGCTTCGATGCTAAGTTTATATTGGTTTATTGCGCAACATATTTTTGCTATTTTTCATAATACAGTTCGCTTTTTCTAAGACGTTTTGTTTACAAACTTCAGCTTGGTTAATTCAGTTTATGCAAACTGAACCCATTTTTGATTTTGAGAATGATTTCGCCCGTGATTCTGTTTTGGTGACTCTGACCTGATTCTAGAATCACCAGAATCACACGTTTTTTCCTTGAGTGCATGTCTAAATAGTGTATGTCGCCAAAAAGGTATCAGAATATATACTTGAATTAGTGATGCATAATGCTTATGACAGAGAAAAGGTTATTAGTATGTTTTTTTCAAGGCTGATAGAGTTCGCAGCTGCTGAGAAAGAGATCGTTGTTGGTGCCACCACAAACAAGGACTTGACCAGTGGTGGGAAGCAGTATTGCTGTATGCCAAGCCCGATTCACCGACATATTGGCTGCTGGTGCAAAGGTATTTGTAACAGGATTATACAGCTCGCACGTGGATAGATAACTTGAAATCTTCCAACCATCTCTTCCTCCTGCTAGTAGAAGGCGACCGTCGTGAAGAGTAGTGGCCGTTTGATAGGATCGTGGTTGCAACATCGTTCCGTTGCGGAGGACGAAAGAAAATGTGGATACATTGAACAAATCGAAGGTGTCCAAAAAGCCGAAATCGGTGTTTCCGCCGGCGAATAGAATTGTCTGACTGGACGGGATGTACGTGGCTGAATGATGGCTGCGTGGACTTGACAAGCGTGTTGCGAGTTGCACGAACGAGTTGGAAGTGGCATTGTAGAGTTCAAGCGTGTCAAGAGCACCAGTGGTTATGTTCGATTGACCACCAGCGATGACCACAACGCCTGTTTCAGGAAGAACAGTGGCACTGTGATACTGTCGACCAATCGACATCTTATTGCTGACAGGATGGAACTTTTCAATTGTAATGTCGTACAACTCCCCAGTAGCCAAGGGCAGACTATCCCTTCCGCCAACAAGTAAAACTTTCATCGAACTACCCACTCGGATTACTGACGATGTATGGAACAAGCGAGTGGAGCTCATGGTTACCGTACTATTCACCGTATTTGACAAAGGATCGAAGAGATCCCCTGTGTTGTCTCCACCTCCAGCGATGAGAACCAGTCCGGTGTCCAGACGATCGGCTGTATGAGCGGTTCGTTTCGTGCTCAAGTTTCTTTGTACCTGAAAAGAGTTATTCGACAGGAAGAAGCTTTCTGTCGATGGAGTAGCATCTCGAGAACTGTCTATGCCACCAACGAAAAGGACGGAATTTGTTCCGTTAATGTACAGACTTGCTTGATATCCTCGTTCTGTTGTCATATCACCGACAAGGCTCCAAGACCCGATTGACACTGCCGGCAAAACTATGGAAAAGAGAAGACATGTTTCCCTCTATTTATATTTTTCAAAAATTTCAAATACAAAGAAGTCTTAGTCAAGGAGAAGAGCTGGTAACACCTGTCAGTGGCGGGCAGACTTTTCAGGGTATGCCCATGCACAATTCCTGACACTTAGTACCGTAAAATCTCATCGGTTGGTTTTCGAGGCCTATGGTCTTCTACAGGGTTTTTGAAAAACTTGATATTTTTGATCTACTTACTTTGTCGCCAGAAATATATAATCGATCATACTGATTAGGAATATCAACATTAGAACGCGTAGGCGCTTAAGTCGAATCTTTTCCTCAGACAGTGCTGTTGATAGAAAATGAGGTTTTTCACGTACAGACCTTAGAATTATCATGCAAAACAAGTCTAAAGCATTTGCATAGATGCAAAATGTTGTGGGCTATCTTCTGGTAGCGTCGCGGGAACCTTCACTAAAGGTCTAAGACGTAAAATGTTCTAAATACCGGAAAAAATATCAGAGCCCGGTTTTCGGTTCCCGGCTTTGACCATGAAGACAGTCACCTGAAGTTTTCGGATGTGTTTGTGTGATTGAACAGGTGCTTACCGTTAGTCGAAACCGTTTTTCTTTCAAACGTTTTTTTTCTCTAACAAACCATAACACCTTCTTTACATTTGACTTTGTCCAGAAGGTTCAGACATTGGCCAGTCACATTCTACTGCTGAATATTTTCAGATTCTGTAGAAGTCTGAGAAAGAACGGCCTTCTATTGTATCTTTCTGTACAATCGGTATATCCAGCCCTTTTTTGAACAGAGTACTTCAGTAATCAATCAAAGGTGATTCCTCTCCAGAATCCTCCTTCTTGCTGAAAAAGTTTCAAGCGTTTGATGATCTTGAGAAACAAATCCTGTCATTCGCAAAACGAAGTAACCTATCGTTATCTTTAGGCATTTGTTTTAGCATGTTAGATTTCTAAAGTTTCCATATTTTATACGAAGGTTTCTCTACAGCTGAGTAACAACAAGATTTCTCGACCACTTGAGAAATTTGGTTGTCTGTCGATTAAGACATTTCGATTTCACCGTTTTGAAAAGAGATAAATCAATTTTTTTGAATGAAATATTGCTACAGAAAACGTTTTAACTAACACATGAACGAAGGGATACTAATACAGTGGCGTTTTCATTAAACTGGCTGTAAACAACGAGTGTCGTTCAAAACTTTCGGTGAGCTTGTCTCGTATTTGCAAAAAGCTGATGAAATCCCACTTGCAGAAAGTATATGATGTAAAACAACTTAGAAGGAAACATGTCACCAGTGACAGACTGCTACCTTTCCAATGCGCTTATTGCACGAAAAATAAAGTAAAAAGCGGCTATTTCAAACTATCGGCATGACCGGCTCGTGTCAATGGCAGCGAAAAATCTGTTTAGGGCCGAAAATACACCCTTTTTACCTTTTATGCTTAAATTACAGTACTATACTCTACTGTACTTTCATTTTCTTATTCGCGGAAGCTAGGATTTGTCTTCAAAGATTAAAACAAGTCATGAAAGGCCAGAAAAGTCAGAAAAAGTCAAAAAGAAGTCAAAAAGTCAGCTATGCGTTTTTCAACGTTTTTTGGTCGAAATTGAGTGTATGATAGTTCTTTTTCGGGCGAGCCAAGTAGAGCTTGATAAATATGTTGGTGATTGCGTGCACGATTTAATGGACGAGGAAGGAACTTATACATAGGAAAGTGGATAAAAATATATTGGAGGGTTTGTCAATGGCTTGTTTAACGGGGAAGGAACAAATACGTGGAACAATGGCGACAACTACGTCGGCATGTGGAAAAACGATAAAATGAACGGCTGGGAAAAGATAACTTATGACAACAGCGTCATTGCTAATGAAGGATATTGGATCGACGGTGTCTTTTAAGCATGACGACAGTCGGCTTTACTGAGAGGGCACAAAGATCTATTCGACCATTAGTAAACTAACACAGAAAACCTTTTATTATAATAAACGAAAAAGATAAAAAACGTGGAAGCATCAACTTTCTGGTAGAGAAAAAATTGCTCCGGAAAATGTTCATTTTGTGCCACACTTATATAAAGACAGAAGCAGGGTCCCCCACTTCCTTGTTTACAAAGCTCATTGAGTTACCTATGCACCTCAATTTTTTTTGAAATTTTATAGAATTTACAAAACGTTTTATTCACTGGGAGTCCGGCAGACCGAAAATGTAGTTTGGAAGTTCCCTTAACGAAGTCAATAGGTCTACAATTCAATAATATCCGTCTGTACATATGTCATACTTTCTTGAAATTTTTAGTCAAGATCTTTGGAAATGAATTCTTCTTTGCAAGAAAGCAGCTTTGTGGATATCAGAGACGCATAGAAGAGTTATAGAAAAAACTTTCAGCCCTCGGTAACATGTTCTGACTGAGTTACAAGTTCTTTCACTTTTGCGTATTTCCGCTAGACAAACTACAAAAGGCGCTATAACTTTTGAGGAAAGCAATAAGAGCACAAATTCTTTTAGAGTTTTCACTACTTTACTATACTCTATCTATCCACAAAAGGTCATTGAAATCGGAGGTGGGCACCTGAAAACGTTCCATCGTTAGCCGAAGGTACAGTTTCAACGGGAAAAACATGTGCAACTTACGTATTGTGCAATCGCTACCAGTCCATCCATTTGCACACTGACAAACATTTGCATTAACACATCGTCCGTTGTTTTCACATTGAGGACTACAAACAGCTAAAAAGGAAGGGAATAAATAACTTCTATCTTTTCTTGTTGTTAGCTGTGTGACAAGAAAGTTATTTACCATCTCTCTTTATTGAGGTTCTACTTCGCGTGGTTGGTGCTGACTTTGTCTTGATGGTGCTGGTGGTGGTGATGATACCTTCTGTGGTAGCGTGTTCCTTTATCGGCCAATCTAAGGACAACCATTCTTTGAAATCGTATATATCTGCTTACTTTTTAACTTTCTTACCTCCAACAGTTGTTTCCACCTCTTCTTGAGCTTTATTTTCTGCAGTTGTTGTTACGGTGTCTGAATTGAGCAGGTGTATTGTCATACGTGCTGGTCCCCAATTTTTAGCTTCATCTTCTACATAACATGTATAATTTCCTAATTTCGATTTATCATCAATTTTTATACGTGAGAATAAAATGACTTCTGTCGACAGTGTTTCTTTTAATCCTGGACCATCATGATTTAACAATGCGTATCTCTGTAACAATGACACAAAACAGACACTCTCTTCCAGAATGACAAAGACAGACTTACTATTTTCGGTGCAACTTGTATCCAGCGAAAGCTAACATTAGAACTACCAGAAACATAAACTATGCATGTAATTGTATAAGTCTCATTGAAAGTAACGTGTAAATCTGGATTGGTAGCAACATGTAATGGTTTCATTGGCAGCGGCGGTTGTTCTGCAGATTCACTGGTAGTAGTAACGATGGCCGTTGTTCGTTTCGTTGTTGTTAATATTGGTACTGCTTCACCTAAATAAACTAGTCATTATATAAGTTGCTGAGTGCCTTATCGAGCGAAGGTTTAGCGCGTAAGTGTAAGAGTGTAAGTAGTGTAACAGTTGATGTAACAATGGCACATCACAGTGAGGTGCAAGGCATATGGTATCCCTAGACCATCGTATGGAGCTTAGTTTTTCCGGCTTTTGTTACGTAGTGTCTTGTGGCACCATCCTGACGGTTCACGACCGCTTTGTTCAATGGCATCGATGAAATTGGGAAATGTTGGATCAGTTAACTTAAAATCCATAATAGTTTTGTACAGTCGTTGATTTGGTTTGTCCAAGTCTTCAGCTGTAATTAAGCTTTTGTTCTTCGGTTGATCTTCAATCATCTCTTCTTCGATGACATAGGTCGGTATGACACCTGAGACGGGATGATCATACATTTCATGACACGTGCTGGTCTTTTCACTGCTTTCTTCTTCGTTCTCTTCAGCTTGTTTCAAGTATGTGTATTTCAGTTTAGGTAAATATTTCTTGTCATCAGCATCAGCCATATGAAGACAAAAGAGCGTACATTCATTTCTCATTTCACCCCGGCCATATTTAATGACAAGGGTCTTGTAATCAATGCTTAGCCAATACTTGTATCCATTTGGATGTGATGTTTGTAGAATATGATCATGAGCTGTTGCCTGTTTCAATACCTTTTGATGACCGTTAACGATTTTCTGTAAGAGAACTTTTTCATTGTCGACTGATAGCACCAACCAATACTGATTTTTCTTACTAAAATTTCTTCTGTTTTTCAGTAGTACATGAAATGGTACAGATTCATCGACCTGGGTTACTTCAACTATTGTTCCTTGCCCTGTTTCTGTTGACAATGTTTTCACACAATGAGTTGCTTGCCAAAATGCGGATGATAAAGGGTTGCTCTGATCATCATGATTGTTGTCAGTGCATTTGGCTATGTTTGTCACAAAACCAATTACCAAACAAATGGCTATTCTAATATACATTTTGTTGATGCCTGTTAGATCAAGGATCTTATATAACTCTCTATTTTTTGTTTTTTGCCGTCGAGACAAATATAAAGAGAAACGAAAGAAATAGTGTTTTCTGTATATGCCAATGTGGGAAAATACCGTTGACAGTGAAAGAAAACAAAAAAACAGAGATGAAAACATAATATGTGCTCTTATGTAACATTACACAAATTAATTGCCTTGAATACATAAGTGTAACCGTTTAGGCCATAATTCTAAACTTTTAAGATCTGCTTTTCTGGAATAATGACTGGGTGACAGCCACAGACAAGTTTACATTTCTCTTTGAAAAGTTCGTTTAAAAATAATTACAAAATTTCCGCAATAAATGTCACAGATAAATGAAGACCGTCAAGATAAAAGACCTCATTTTAAATATTTCATATCTTTCAGAATAGACTTAGTTGAACTTTTTAAAGGTTCTTTTTGTCTTGTGTACTAGAGACATCTGGTTACTGATGTCGACAGAAGTTAATGTAGAAGGAGAACATTAGTGACATTCTTTTGGATAACCAAGCTTATCCTATAATTAGTGCCACAAAATGAGTATATTTTTTTGAAAACTCTATCGTTTCTCCTGTGAGATAATTAATCGTCACGTGATTCACTTCATACTGAATATATGCTGCAGTGCTGGATATGATGAAAGCTATACTATAGCAGAATATATGACACAATAATGCATCAGCTGATATAGGAGTATAGAATTCTTCTTGAAAAATAGTCAGACTGTTATCAGTCATTAGCAAAATTCTTCTTTCTTTAAGTCGACTGAGTAAAACTCAAGGAGAGAGGAGTTTATTAAAATAATAAACTGGCCATAGGCTGTTGACCGAGGTCTTTTGCCTTAAAACATGTATGTACAAATGTAATGGGTTTATGTCCAACTGTTGTTGTACCAAGTATTGGATGTGTGGAAAAGGTCGGTGCTAATAACGTTGTTTCCACATCAGATAACACCTAATCGAGTTTTTTAGCATAGGAGTCTTGCATAAATGTTGCCTCATTTGATCCAATTATTTGTGTTGAATGATCTACCAACCAGTTGTATAATACATTACCGTTTCTGTTTGTTTTTACACATCCAAAATATTCGTGAGATGCATTTAAATCGCCCATTATTAAATACTGATTATTTAGATTTTTTATTTTATTCAACACTTTAATTGATAAAACCCTACGGCAATTATCTTAAATAAAGGGGTTTATTGACATACGGAAAAACGTATTTTAAAAAATGTGAGAAGAATGTTATTGAATGCGTCTGGTATAGACCTATTGGAAAAAGAACTTCTTCAATGTACATCACTTTATTATGATCACGTGTGGTACAAACAAGCGGCTGCCTACGTCTATCAATTAGCCCACGTCGAAGAAATTCCGTTGTTTTTTCAAATTGCTTACATAAACAAGATACAGAAAAAGTGGATGTTAATTGTTCATCAATTAGTAACAAAACAATATGACAACAGTTTATGCTGTTGGCAATTAGAATCGCATGACAATTTAGAATTAATATCACCAACTGACCTCGAATATTATCACAAATGACTCGATATTTACGAAGTAAAAGATCGTTTTTACGTCAGCCTTTCATCTCGTTTAACCAAATAAAGGTGACTGAATGCTTGTAACACATTTAATGCACTTGTCTGACTCTCTTCGCCTTTAAACCTGTTCTTTCGCAAATTCATACCCAGGAGTGTTGATAGCCGCTATATTATGTTTTTGTCCTTTTAGGCGAAGAAACTGATGAAGAGACGTTGATATTAATGAATGATATAAACAAAATCAAGGATTTAGTACCAAAATACAAACACCAATTGCTCTTTATTTGTGAACATGAGAAATTGTTCAAAACTGTTGTTCTTGGTATTAGTGGCAGACACAATGAAGCAGTTACGACGATGAATATGGACGAACATGTTTCAAATGAGCCATTATGTGATCGGAACGTACCATCGTCATCAACAGAAAACATTCCTCCGTCAAAATCGATGCAGAAAAAATTTCCTGAAACGTATGAAGTTCCAGATTTGCCAGAAAATATTCAAAATTTCATTGATAAAGGACAATTAGAAGGATTTGCAAATCACTGTGGTCATCGACATGTTCTAACTGACATTGTGTTTCATGATTTAACAACAAATTTTGGACTTTGGTATATAAGATGTGCCTAATAGAAAAGTAAATGTTTAATTAATGCTCTTCTTTTAGGTATCCTGATCGTCGTCAATATGAAGCTGTTTCATTTGCAATATTAAAAAAGCTCAAAGTAAATTATGATACAGGAAAAGCGATATGTAAACAAATAAAGATATTCAATTCTCACAAAACTGTTAAATGCCTTTGTATTTAGAAAATATGGAAGGAGACAATACAGGCTAAATTTAAACGTCAGAGACGGCCATTGGCAGATATCAATCCTGATATCAAACAAATGAAAGAAAAATTTTCTCGTCCAGACAATGGCCGACCTATTAAAAAGAAGACAATGATATTGGCAGAACGAGATCAAGAAAAGAAAGTGAGTTTTTAAGAACACAAGCTTCTTATAGGGCTGTAATATTTATTTTTAGGTACTTATTCAAAGTAGCAACACTGACGACGAAGGAGAGCAAGAAAAACGAGTACAGGTGATGAATGATGAATTAGAAAAAAGTGATACCGATTGGAGGAATGGTCTTGGAATTATGGCGATCAACATTAAAATCACGTCGAAAATTTGTGAATATAAATAGAACCGATGAAATATTGAAAAAATATCCTGGTTATAAAATACCAGTATTGGTAATCCTGAAGTAAAGTTATTTCACAAACAGTACCACTTGTATTTTCTGTTCTCTAGATATTTGCGGAAATGGAAATGCTCACTGGTGTAACCATCGGAACAAAAGTGCGAAGTGATTTACCAGCCTTGTTAGAAAAATTATCTCCAAGTCCCGCGTTTGTGACTGATGGGTGGAGAAGAAATCAGGAGAATTATTCAGCCTCTAATTTTTTTAGAAACCTTTTCTTTTCAGATCAATTGCCAATAGGAATTATCAAAGTCATTGCTCGTACATTTGACGAATCATGGCATCATACTATTCGCGTCGGTGAAGAGGTGAATAATTAATTCATGCAGCGGAAATCAATGAGTTTTGAACGGCTTTTAGTCGGTTTACAAATCCTCTCGCTGGCAAACTAAAATTGTTTGTTTTCTGTTTTAGGAACCAACAACGCCCTATCCAACACTGAAACTTGAAGAAAATCAAATTAAAACTTTCTTAGATTGGCAAACTGTAACCGAAACGGATTCCATCAATGATGCAGTGGCCATATTAGTCTCATTTTATCGTTTATTTGAATTGAAATTCAGCACTCATTGTCGAGCCATCCGTTTATTGTATATTGTATTATTGAACGAAAAGAAATATTTTTCAAATTCGATTAGACGTGTATTAATTGATTGTAAATTCGATTTTGGTCAAGAGAAAAAAGCTCTGCTAATTGAAAAAATAAATACTACTACCGAAAAAGACGAAGAGGATAAAGGTGATGGATCCAACGACAGCTCACTCGAGGATGACAATGAACAAAAAGAAGATCCAATAACTACATCAACCGGCAGTTCACAAACAAAACAAAAACGTTCTAGAGATGAATCAAACGACGAAAATAAAGCAATGCAAGAGGTACTAGAACCGATACGCCAAAAAGCGAAAATAATCACAATAACTAAGCGTAAAATCTTATCGACAACAATCAATCAACAATGTTTAAAACGATGTCGAGGAGAAAACGGACACCCAAAGTTAAATTTTAAAGCAGAGGAGCAAGAGATTGAGGAATCGATGCACGTTCAAACACAACATTCAACTCGTGCAACAAAAAGAAATGTTCGACAGAAAAAGATGAGATAGATTTTTGTTTTGGACCGTAGAAAAATATACATTGTTTGGTTTTTTGTCTCCCGATTACTTCCTTTTTGTTCTCTCATCACACTCGCTTGCTTTTTATTATTGGTTTTCTCAACTTAGATATGTCATATTTGCAGGTGCTTACTATGCCTTTTCTATCGATTATGGACAGTAAACGTTTCCAGTTTTTCTTCTTTTTCATACCTTTTTTCTTTAGTGCACGTATGATTATAATGATTTTTTACAGACGTTTTTCAATTAGAATAAAAATAATTTGCAATGTTTTGAAAAGTGATGAGGTAAGAAGAGAAGTAAGGGGTAGGGACTTAAAAATAGAAAATAGATGACTGTAAATATGAACGGTCACTAAGAACCTAACTTACTTTCCTGAAGAATAAATGGCACGACACTTCGATGCAGAAAGTCACGAGAGTATAATAGTGTGCTACTGAGACATGAAAAACCTTTCCTGAACGCTTAAACCGTTCGGGAAACTGAAACCACACCGAACGAAGAAAGCGTTTCGGAGACATCAAATACACCTTCCGGAACGCTTTAAGGGTACTCTCGTAAACCTTTGTTCGTTCGGTGTAGTTTCAGTTTCCTGAACGCTTTAAGCGTTTCTTAAAATACGGATTTCTTTTACAGTGTACAGCTCCTAGTTTTTCACGAGTGTGAGACGCGAGAAAAATGATCGGATCTGGTCGGCTTTTAAGAACTCAATTGATGAAATAGAAACTTTCCACCTGGTCGTTTCTTTTGCTGTATTTCAGCAACCACCTCTTCTGGTTTACAGCGGACTTTCTCTTTCAAACCCTGGTCGAATTGATCTGTTAGATAACGAATTTCGTAATCCTTTGTTAACAAGGCATGTTTCCCATCTATACAATTTTAATGAAATTTTTGTATTCATCTTCACTGATAAAGCCTGTCAGTTGCTTTTAAACTCCTTTTCGAATTTCTCTTAGCTATCTTAGCCGTGGGAAAAAATCGAAAAATATGGGTGCCGTAATCGTTTTACTGATTCATATTATGAAGATTTTGGGTGATGAAAGAATCTTTTTATGCTCTATAGATCTGCAAAACCATCCTCAAATACAAAACCAGATTAATATCTCGCTGGGTATAATCGGCGTATAGACTTTCAGGTTAGACATATGAAGGTTAAGTGTTTATTCCACCCCCAAAAAAGTCTGCCATAACGAGGAGAGTCCTACAACATAGTCGGGTGTAGCTTATTTTCTATAACTATTATGTATAGTATAAGGATTTGATCGAGTTCTTTTGTACTAGACGCATTATTCTGTTTAATATCAAATATACTGTATCGCTATATATTTTATCGTTATTAGTGATAATTTTAAAAAAGTATCAGCACTATGGAAAAATATGATTAAGAGAAGAAAAAGCGTTAAAAAAACAGAAAAATAGAGAGAGACACGCACACAGAAAAGTCGATAAATATATATAGTCAGAATAATATTTCAAAGAAGAAAATCAAATGGCAGCGGACATGATAAGATGGCTGTGTTTTCGGTCGCCGATTGTCTAAACATCAATATACGAAATGAGATGGCAGATTCAGTGCTCAAAAACCTTACTTCTTTCCTCTTTGAATAGTCGATGTTTATCTGCTAAATCATTTGTGCTCGACGGTGGTAGAGGTGACTGGTGTGTCGTTCTCAATCAAACTATTTCTAAAATAAATCATTCAAGACGAAAAAATTTTGTACTTTCACATAATATTGTTACAAAAAATCTTACATAAAAAAAAGTACACAAAACAGCCACATTTTTCGTCAGATTCTTTTATAAGAGTCCGATACGATTTCCATAAGGATTTCTTAAGAAAACAAGAAATTCTTTTTTTGAAAAAAATTCTCTCTCACAAAAGATAGCTTCATGGCACCTGTCTCTTTCTTAGAGAGAACCGGAAACTTTGAATTTATAGTATGAAGAAAAACTTAAATTATGAAGCAACAAAACCTTTTAACACACGTTCATGCGATTAACAATAGGTTGCGACTCATCATTCAATCCGAAGATCAAACAAATCCAATACAGTCTTTGCACAAGAACATTCTTCTCTTGTCCATTTAAGAATTGTTTTCTCTCCAAATGCAATCTGGAGCTGTAGCTTAATGGTTACAGAAGGGTGCATAATGCTGTAGAATGCAGATTCGGATCTTGCATAGATCGCTTTTTTTTGCTTTCTTATCAATTCTTGTCGGACTTTTATCAGGCATTTATCTAAAACTTATTATACGATTTTTGTAAGAGTCTTACCAGAAATGGTTGTTTCGCATACCTTTCTTATATAAGACTCTTGCAAGAATCTAGTAAGAATGTCATCTGGCTATACTAAGAGACTCGAAAGAATTCGATACGTGTCAAAATCCTGTCTAAGAATTACTATGTAGAGCAGATGACGTGGCGAATCATTGTTGAGAAAAACAGTTACTGACGAGGGAATGTTTCCAGTTACTAGAGTGCTTCTTCTGTGAAAAATAAATTAAAAATACCGGTTTTCCGAAAACCGGATCTGTAGTGACATAAGTGCAGCCTCGGCTATCATATTCAGAAACTGCACCATTGGTCGTCTATGATCATATGACTTTCATAGAAAAGGCGCACATAGAAGCATTCTCCCGTGGTTCAATGCCATTGAAATGCGTTGCAAGTGCTCTGCTCGTATAGCTAGCTACAGTGGAAGAAAATCGTCTGATATTCGCTCCTTACCTATCAGGCGATTCGTTCGAACCTCGTCGTTGTGCATTAGTACACACGATCTTGGCGACTGTGTCACATAATTGTTGAACATCATCATCTGAGATACTTTTTACCATGTATTCTTTAGTGAGAACAATTTCGTCACCGAAACGTGCATAAAGGCTATCATACTTATGTCGAATCAAATACCGAAACAATTTTTTTCCGTCGATATTGTTATTTTTACCAATTGTACCCAGGTCTTGCATCATCTTTTGAATGCCATATGCCTGGGCGCCCATAATCAACTTGTGTCTAACACCATGCGGCAAAATGCTCACCTGCTGCTGGTATTGCTCCATCACATCATCAGGCATGCGAAATGGCAAAGCTTAGCACAAAAACGTATTTCTTAAGGATACAGTTTTTGACACGTTGAAAACAATGTCATTGACAAATCACTATTTTCTAGGCTACTAATCAATGCAGAAATTGTCAGAATTGCGTTACACTGAGCTAATTTGTCCAAGCGCTCGTCTGTCTATCATTGTACACTTAACACCGTCTTGTCTGAATTTAATTACGAGTTTAGCAATAATCTCTGGCTCTTCACATAAAATTCTTTCTATTTTTATGTAAAATAATAAAGTAATAGGTAACAAAAACTACATTGAGTGACTTAGTTTTCAAGCACTGTCTGAGATATTTGTTTATGACCATGAAATGTCAAACGCGTTTCCTGAGACATGCTCGATCAAAAACTAAAAAAGTTTCAGAATAGGTTTTAGCTCTGCGAGAACACTATTTATATCGTATGTCAATTAGGTGACTATGGTCTCCATAAAATACCGTGATTCGAAAGCTCGAATAAATAATAATACTAACGGACGTACTAACGCACCCGTGCCTTGATACCTAATGCAATACGGCGTTAAGATGACACTAAAAGTAATTTTACACAGACTGTTGCTCTACTCTGAAGCTGTGTTTCCTTCATTCTATTTTCGTTCAGATACTCCTCGACTGTCAAGAGTCTTGACAGTCATTTCGAATCAGTCTTGACTCAAGACTGATTCAAAACTAATTCGAACATCAACGAATTTTTCATCTAATCCGTGTCATTCTCTTTTTTGGGGTAAAAATAAGAGCGGAATAGCTCATTCCTTGCTTCGACTGATATTAGGCTAATATAAATTGATCAAAATATATAGAGGCAGCATTTTTGAAGAAGAAATATACCTCTTGGCTCCATATTTCGCTAATAAAATTGTAAGATGTTGAACCAGCAACAACTGATTCATATCTAGCCGTCGATATATTTTGTTTACCTTTTACCTGATAAGCCAGTTTCTAGATCATACTACTCAAATATTACTTTTAAAAAAATGTCTGTAGACAAAGTAATGACTGCGATCTATAGAGGAAAAAGCTCAGAGTAAAAAATGGTTTTGTATAAGATGGCCATATACAGACGCACGCGTGGACTACTATCGCGATACTCTCTATCGATCGACGTATGAACGATTGAAAAAGGAGTGCTACAGCAAAATAGCGTTCCTCTTGAGTTTGCTCTCCCAGTTTAGTACTACATTTTTCACCAGGAGATTTGAAAGAATTTTATTAACAAGATTAATGTTAAAAATATCATAGGCACTAGTTTATGCCCTAATCACACATTTGAAACGCTATAATCATCCTTGCTATGTACCACGCACGTATACCTCATTTGTACTAGTAAGTTTGCTCATTAATGGCTCTTTATTATTATGAACCACTGCCAGCCACTTCAAAGCTTCTAGAAACAATACCGATGTACATCTAATTAGGAAATTACTTTTCGCAAGTTTTTCCAGTAGGTTTTTTCAAGAAGTTAAAAGCGATACAAGTGGTTTTGAAGATGTAAAGTGTTTCTGACAGCTTACCTGCTGCAGCTTGTTGTTGCATGATTCTGATGTAAAAATCACCTCGATTTGGGAATATTTTTCCAAACTGAATGTATTTGAACTTATTAGGCAGTTTCGATTGTCTCACAGTCAACATGTATTGTGGTGGCACCGATGTACCATTGTATTTATTCGCGGCTGCAAACGGTGACGATGACTCTCTCTGTTCTTCATGATCGACTCGTTTTAGTAGACCTAATAGTTGCCCTGCCGCATATTCACTGATATGACGAAATGTGAACAACTGATCGCTTCGCTGTGGCTGATCGCGATGAAGGGCCAGCCTATACAAATACCACATCATCGAAATAACACCGGTCAATGGTGATTTGGTTGTGAGGAAATAGTCCA